AGAAGAAATAAGTCCAATATTTACACATTGATGGTCATTTGTAATAATATCGTTTCACATATTTTTTTTCTTATGTCAATATAGCATGGGCATATCAAAACAAAATGGTTTTCGTCTTCTAAATCCATAGTATTACAACATAATCAATATCTTTCACTCCTTGGGATTCTATTTTGACCATATCTACCCGTTTGTACTCTTAGTGTATGTGCAGACATTCTAATTCTCGTGATGTAAAATCTAAGATCCTTTGGTAATATGTTAAGATAGTTTTCGTATGAATATAATTCTTTACAATTTTTATAAAGTTCTAAATCAGAATTATTTTCTACAGATGAATGCCATATTTGAATATAATTATCAATAACTCTTTGTTTAAAATATTTTTGGAAATAATTTACTATCTACGATATTATTTTCTAAAAAGTATTCTGATAAACCATATATATCTAGCATTTCTTTAACATTTGATACCCAGTTTTTCACCTTTATAACAATCAGATAAACTTAATTCATATGTTTTCCGTAAAATTATATTGTCAGTATTTGTCAATTTGCACCAAAACCTAATTATTCTTACGTATCGGTTTAAATACAAAGGGTAACGGCCGAGTTCGCCGTATATACGAACATTGTTTGTATTGGCTCTAACATTTAAATTTTTTTACAATATTTCAAGTGAATACGCTCAATTATCTTTTGATTTGCTTTAACCCCATACTCTCAGATACATATGATATGACTGAACCTACAAAAGAATCAAATAATTGGCATAATAATTTGGGTTTCAAATCCATGTCTTCTGTTTAGAAGTAAAAGTAATGTATAAAGTTCCAGTAACAACTTCCTCATTAATAGGTAATAGTTTTAGCTTGATTACACCCTACGCTGTCTATTTTTCATATAACATGCTGGAATATTATCATTTCGCCTAGAAATGCATTATGTATTACAAAATACGTTTGTTTACATCAAGTTACCATATTATTTGATTTAATTATGATTTCCACAATTCAAAAAACATGCCAACTCTTTGAAATAAGTCAAATTTAACATTTTAAAAATATCCCTAGATTATCGTGATTTTGGCCATAACACGCTTCCGTAGAGAAGAAAAATTTACATAACTTGTGCATACACATTTTTTTAAATACTTAGTAAGATGTGTGGTTAATTCTGTGTCATTTTAGATAATTTAACAAAAGAAAACAATGTAGAACAGTGAGTAAAAGATAAACTCTCCTTTAATGATTACTTCATACAAAATTGTGTTTAAAATCGCGAAATTATATGACACATTTTGTCATCTGCATAATCGATTGATTGGTGGTCAATTAAATTTATCTACTGACATATTTTCCCCTAAAATTTATACAGAAGAATATAAAAATGACTAAAATTACTTACCTTTGCACTAGGAATGCTGTATTTGAAGTAACTTCAGATCTTTCAACGAAAATATAATAAACGTGACGTCACCGAACGTGCATAAAATTAAAGTATGGTGTAATTTAAGAGACACATTTAAATATCGATTTTTACTAAATCTTTATGATCGATTTTTCAGGATTCTGCAAGGAGATTTTTTGAGGATTTTTTTCTCAAAATGTAGATAATGTTTATCTTTTATTTAATCGTGAAAATATTTGTGAAGGAATTAGTTTTACCATAATTTCTATTATGACTGGCCTATACCACCACATCGATATGCTAGTCCAATTACGGCACAGCGCCTAGCAGAACAGTCTTGAAAGCATAGCCACTGCTCATCCACCATCTCAAAAAATGATGGTTTCAGAACAGCTTTATATACAGTCATAAACTGCACTACCCATTGAAACAGGCTCAACATTCGCATATATAGAGTTTGTTCTCTGTTATCATGTCTCACAAATCAACGATAACATTTTTATTGTCTTCTTCACTGATTGGGACCAGAGAACTATATATCTATTTCCGAAAGTCAACTGGATCCCGTAAGATCAAGTAGATCCGTAGGATACAATGAATTTAGACAGATAAAGTATATATTAAGGAAGATAATTAAATTCAATGCAGTTATACTTTATATATATTGAAAACTCGCTCGAAAAATCGGCACGCCGCAGCCGGGACTCGAACAACGGGTCTCTGGACTGCCAGTCCAGTATGCTAACCAGTACACCACAGCGGCCGTTGCTTTTCTTCGTGCTAATTGGCCTTATATATCTAAGTTATTTTTTTACTTTATTGTGACATACCATCATTTACGGGGCACATATATAAGACCGACTTGAGTGGCATTATTTCATATAGTCAGTTTTATTATAATTATGTCACTATGTAGGCATATAATGAACATTTCCAAACAACAGAACTAAGGGGTACTAAGTTATATATATCAACTATATATTCAATTTTACAATAGGTGAAAACATTTTGACAAGAAACATAATACCCCATAACAATTATATTCATTTGTGGTGCATATAGCATTAACTATTAAAACCGGCTTACGGGCACTATTTTAGTAGGGTACCCTACACCCCCTTACACCATTTTAAACATGCTAGAATTGCGAGGTCTTATGTATGCCCCACACGAAATACGAACCCCACAAGTATGGTTTTAAATAGGCCGATGCCCCGTAAATGGAGGAATGTAACAGTATATATACGGATAATGATATCAATTATGCATTTTGCCTGGGTTTGTTAGTATGTTCTTGGTACATGATTTTCAATTTTGACAAGAGTTTGGAGGCAATACTTTTATATTGTATACAAAATGGGCACTTATTCTACTTTGAAAGTAGGAATGATATCGGCTTGGAACACCTGAAGTAGATTGCTCTACAAATCTCGAAATTTTGTATGCAACATATTGCGCCCCCATCAGTGCTTTCAGCACTTTGATTTTACTTAGTTTGCCAAGACCCCCATACAAAACGACAGGTTATATTAAGAAGGGAAAACTTGCAAAGTTTCGATAAGTTAATCACAGCGGGTAAAATGTAGTTTTGATTTTTCATTTGTTACTAACACACCATATGTTTCCAATATGTATGGTATTAGGGGCACATAGACCGAGGGAGATGTCATAAATGGTCATAAATATGAAATTCTGTTACATTCAATATCTTGATAAATATTTGATCCTCAATAATGAATGGATTTCTTTCATATTTGGACACAATAACCATTTTAACAAGACATTCAATTACGCATATTAAAGGTCAGGTTCTAAAAAAAATTATACTCGTAATTTCTGTTAACTTGATGGATTTTTTTTCAAACTTGTACACAATAATCTTTCGTTCAAGACGTTCAATTCTTCCGACCTATGTGTGAACTTGACCTCTGGCTGGCCTGGAATCTTTAAGATATGAAAACTTTAAAGTATGTCATAATATTATCCTCCGCCGATTAAAATGGGAGGGGATATTGTCGGACCTTTTAACATAGAGTTATGGCCCCTGAATTATTATGGTTCTGTATATTTTTGCGCTACTTCTCGGCAACTCCTGACTGGATTTTAAGGAAACGTTTTTGGAACTGTTGTTGTTGTTGTTGTTAATAATAACTTGCATTCGTCGGTTGATAGAAATTTACCGATTTTCCTTGTTTTCTTATTTATGGACGCATTTCTTAAATATTTGTGCAGAATAACCCATTTATATCCTCAAAAGAAGGGCATATAAAATTGAATTCCCCAAATCACCCTCCACCCGTCCTTCCCTGGCTTTCAGTCTGCAAACTTTAATATTGGCTACAACTTCCGTATAAACGGATGGATATAGTTGAAGAAGACGCCGCGACATATATCAATTGACCATGACCTTACAATGACCTGACCTGGAAGGTTATTAATATGGACACTTAATGGAAGTCGTAATGTCATCCTTCGGGGTAACATGTCGTCTTTAAGTGTAAGCTCTTGTTGACTTCTACCGGATATGTTAGTAACTGAAACTTAAATCGAGCCCGATAGATGCCGTGGTTCTGTTAGTTTATATGTCGGCAATACGACATATATTAACGCGACATGTTACTTCCTGTTGTGGAATAAATTATGGCGTCTTGACTACTTTTTGCTTACATCTGTGCATGGGCATTACGATATAATTCTTGTCGACATAACATTACTTCTTCTTAATGTCTTTTCATGTGTCTTTAAGATGGATGGGGTTAGTTGGGGTAGGGTCGTGGGGTTGATTTCCTTCCACTTTATAGTCGTGGCCGTTCTGATGATATTTAGGATTTATAGCCCGGACAATTCAAATTTTATCTAAAAACCCTCACTTGTATGTATAAAAAATACGTACCGATACGTCTGGTATTTTCTGTGAAAATTTCGTTTATTCACACGTGTAACGAATTCGTTTTTGTGAATATTGAGGTTCAACAAAGCTGCTTTCAGGCCAAGGTCAAATGTCAGCCGTTTCCGTTCAGAGTAAATGACTTATGACAACAAACGTCAAAGTCAAATAATTATTTTACACTGTACCAAGAACCGTTTTGGGTCAATTAAGGACATGACTATTTTACCAAACGCTTTTAAATGTTGATCGCAATCAATGAGTAAAACAAACCCATATATTTAACGGTCATGGTCCAGCACGGTTCAAGGAAAACTATTTCTTCTAAATCATAACAAGCAAATAATCGGCCATTGGCATATAAACTTCATATAATTGGCAACCACGTTAAATCAAGTAACAGACATATTCCGTTTATTGGCTTTGGTATTATTTTAATGTCAGAGTCACAATGGCTTTGCAGAAAACTTGCGTTTTCGCTCAATAGAAAACCACCTGAACTACTACAAAACTTCTTAGGTGTATATATCTTTTTATGACAATTTGGTTATTAATGTACTGCCATAATTAGTGTAAATACGGAATCGATTTCTCTTTAAGCTTAATTGGTATTGATATGATGACAATAAAAAGGAGTTAACATTTTTTTCACTACACATGACGTTATCTATGAACCATTAAAGGTGATTGAAACTCTGTCTTGTTTAAATTATAGAACAAATACGAGAGTGATTTTTCAACAATATGTAGCACATTGTTTTGCGCTGTACAAGGCAGAGACGACGGTTTAACCTTTCCCTATATTCCATGGTATGGTACCACATGTGGAAATGGCAAGGTACGATTTAACTTAATGATTAAAAATAATATCATGCTAAACAAGCTTATCTTTCTTAAATTGCTAAAACTAAAATTGTAATTATGCCATAATAAGTAATCATCATTTATCAATTAAAATAATTGCATCACTCAGAAATATATTGACACTGTGCATTTATCCTTAGATGTGTCAAGTAGGGCATTGCGTCGAATCTCCCCTAGCACCTCCAGTCGATGATGGTAAGTGAAGCTTCAATGTAAAATATTTACGATTTTCAAATACAATCATCGTCAGTATAAATTGTTAGGTAATATTGTACCGTTGCACAAATTGAGTTCTCATAAATAGTAAAATACCATAGAGAATTAACTATCATAATTATTTTAACATACCCTTATAAATATCTACTGTGAAAACAAACATGTGCGTCACTGCGTTTCAAACAGGACAAAAACCACAATCCGTTTTGTAATCATTTACCTACTCTATACCTGTAAGCAACTACACATTCCAGTTTTACAATACGTTATTTAAGGAATGATGTATTCCAATTTCCCAAACAGTAATTTTATCGCTGAATAAAATCACTGTTTGGAGTTCGGATGCGAGGAATTATATCACGAGGGAGTAGCTCGGGCAATATAATGATGCGCATCCGAACATCACCGATTTGTATATACTATTTCGATTCTTACTCGATATCATCACATAAAAATGCTGCCGTACCGGATATTTAGCCTAATTACGGCTTATTTGTTTCCTTACTTTCTTTTCAGCGCGTCACATTTTTATTGCTTACGTCACGTGTATAATGCTTACGTCAAATGTCTTAATATAGAAGGTCAAACAATGACTTTATTTAAAAATAAATATCCCAAACAGTGATTTTATCGCTCATTAAAATCACTGTTTGGAGTTCGGATGCGAGGAATTATATAAAATGTTGCGCATCCTAACGACAAACAGTGATTTTATCAAACAATAAAATCAACGATTAGAATATTTTATTTCGGTTCTAACACGACATCAACAAGCCGTAACTGATATTACCTTACATTGCGCCTGATTTGTTTTCATACTTATCTTCAGGGCGTCATATTTTAGTGGTTACGTCATGTGTATAATGATTTAGTCACATGTCTTAATATAGAATGCCAAACTGTGATTTTACTGCATAATAACACACCGTCGGTTCCTCTATGTTCAATCGGGGGAAAAGCGGATCGTGTTAATATACATAAAAACACACACTTTCGATTCTTCTTTGTTGGGAAAATACGGGTCGTGTTAGAATAAATTATGTATAATTATGTTCATTCGTGCTATTCTACACAAATTTGAAAGTTCGGCGGGAGCGATAGCGAAAATCTCTGTAGAACAGCTACGGATGCATACTAACACACTTATTAAGCTTTATTTTGCTTCATTAATATTCGCTTTATTACCTCACCACTTTTGTACACACGCGGTTCTATGAAGTACTGTGACAAATAGAAGGCGACTATGAACAGAATTTTTTAAATTATCGACTTTTGTTCTTCTATGAAAATTAACACATATTTTTTTTATTCTACAGAAATTAAAAATATTCTCCTGTCGCTATAGCTCCCGTCGAACTTTCTCATTTCTGTATAACAGCACGGATGAACACTTACATATACATAAATCCACTAAGACGTCTAGTTAGTACTATTCTAGTTCCAATCTTCAAAATTTCAGTTATAGTTATAGTATAGCCACGAGACTGTTATGTGGAAATATCATGGCTTTGGCGATATTGAGGGGTTTTCTCTACAGAAAATGATCGAGGCCGTAAGGCCGAGAACATTTTCTGTAGGATGAACGCGAGATGCCGCCCAAGGCCATGATATGTAATAGTTATAGTTAATGAAACGAGTTAGTTACGAGGATATAACACTGGCTGGGGCGACATCAATGGGTGTTTTCATAAAAAATGTCGAGGCCGTTAGGCCGAGACAATTTTTTTGAAGAAACATCCCAAGTTGTCGCACCAGCCACCATTTGTAATAAAAATCCGTATTAGAAATCAGAAAAAAAAACTAAAAAAAAACTACATAAAACGTGAATTTCTCTTGTGCCCTTTCTCTTTTTCACCTTCTCACTCCCCAATACCAGCTTATAATATCGTAAAATCGTACCTTACACCTATATAATATTGAAAACATAAAACAACATCCCATGTTATGCTAGTTTGTGGAGAAAGTTATTCGGGTTCAAGATTTAAAAGGAATCCCTTGAGGTTTAAAAGCCTAAAAACATAACATTTGAATTTCTTACATAAATGAGCTGGGGCACTTTAAACAGAAATGTATGCAAATATAGTTAAGAAATATACTTTGAAATAAATTGAAAGTCGTATTTTTTATGCTTTTCTTAGCCCGATTTGAGTGAAAAGCGTTTAAACGCTTTTCATTTTGAGTCATTTTTTTACAATTTGAATAATAATTCTGGAAAAACAAAGTGACAAATGATATGAAATTTTGCACAAAGATTAGTGGTCTTAACCTACATCAAATGGTACATTTATCTGGAAAAAAATTCTGTCCCATCATGTCAAAAAATCTAAGTGGAGTCCCTTTAAGGGCTTTTTTAGTTGAAATAATTCATTCAGCGGATGAACCGTTTGATTTCAGCAGTTGCATACTTATATGAGAATAAATTCATTTCATTAATTTTCTTTCTTATTATTTTTATTTTATGTTTTAATTTTTCTTTTGCTGCTTGGAATGTGCGTTACCGCTGCCCCATTGGAGCCTCAGTGAAAAAACTACACTTATATATACAAGGTGCGAAAAAAACTCAACCGCTATATAGCAGTTGAGTTCTTTTCCTATATGAATCAATGGCAAAACTGTACTGCTATATATCAATACAGTTTTCAAATGATCATTGAAAGTGTACTAAGTATAATGGGCTAGTAAGAACAAAGAAAAAGTTCCAAACCATGCATTTATTCCACATTACAGTCGAGTTCGACATACTTTAACTGTTTTACCGCATGGTTCAGCGATTCGTCTTTGATGTTCCTCAGCTGTTATACACCAGTAACATGTTTTATTGGTAATAACGTACAGTGCGATATCTCAGATAACGTATACTTCCTTAGAAAAAAAGTGTGCGTTATTTTAAATAAAGCACGGTTATCTAAGTGCATTTGGTTTATATATAAGCGTAACGGTAGACAAAAAAACTACAAGGGTCACTGGACGGTACTAAAATTTGTGCTAGAAAAATAACGAATAAATTCAGTTTGGAGAAAATAAAGGGGTAGATACTGGGGATAAGGCTGTCAGTTAAGAAAAAAAAGTGTCTGTGGCTTGAACGTACTTGTTTATTAACCTTTTTATCCTTTTACGGTTTTACCTGAATTCATTTTATGCTTTTGAGTTGTTAACTGTTTTATCCTTGAATTTTCTTTTTATAATTTTATCAAAAAAATAGTTTCACATTTTCAAAGACGAGATTACTTTTAGCTCGACTATACTTAGTATACGGAGAGCTGTCCTACTGGCCCCGGTGTCGGCGTCCGCTCCCAGAATACAGATTTAAGTTTTGATGTAGTAAAATATTTTTCACTATAACTTTTTCATTTCTTAAGGTATCAACTTCAAACTTCAAATATATGTTCCTTATCATCTTATGTGACAAGGTTTTTAACTCTAGCACCAATATTTTGATATTCATTCCCCCTTGAACTTAGAATTTCCTTAAAAATACTATCTTTAACTGTTACTTCTTTATTTCTTAAGGGATCAACTTCATACTCCTTATCAGTAACCATATGTTATGTGACAAACTTCATAACTCTAGCACTAATAATGCAAGAATAATCTCCCCATAAATTTAGATTTTTTTTACTTGTTATTGTTTTAATATAACTTCTTTAGTTTTAAAGATATCTACATCAAACTTAAAAACTTATTCCTTATCATCAATTACATCTTATGTGACAAGGTTCATAACTCTTGAAGCAATACTTTCAGATTTATCTCTTTGAACTTTAGAATTTTTTAAGAAATATTATAACTTATTTTATGCATGCTTTTTAGTGGATAACTGATTTATCCGTGAAAATTATATTTGATAATTTCACAGAAAAAAATATCAAAATATAATTTCAGACTTCTTAACGACGAAACTACTGTTTTTATGATTTTCCCCATGTGGTACCTCAATTTTATTTTTCCTGATACATTTGACAATGTCAGGCTGTTTAGAGAAAAGTAAAGCTGAAATTGATAAATAACTTAAATGTCAAAAGTAATAAAAAGAAGAAAACTTACTTGTATTCATCCAAATTACCAATCACCAAATATCGTCTCTTAATTATTTTGTTTCATTTTTACAGTCTAAAAAATACATTCCTTCCACATGCAAAACTGCTCTTTATGGCTTTTGGGCATATTTAAAAATCCTACGAGCAAAAACTGCCGTATGCTTTATGAAAATTTGAAAAGCAATGACAGCCATCAGCCCGAAGAATAAGTAAACAACCCAGCGTTCGTGTGGCAGCCTTTGAACAATTCCAAGTTTCCAATTTCCTAGCCGTTTTTTGAATGTTTACACATCTGTCAACATTTATTTATTGTATGATACAATTCTCAAATAAGTTTTCTTCCTTTTAAAAAGGTACATGACTAACAAATCTAAATGATATCCCTCTGAATCAAACACAATTATTTTCCTCCCGTGAAATACACAACTTTTAAAAATGGCGGCCGCTTACATTTAACAGAGCCAGGTCTAATATAAATTTGCAGTAAAAAACAGAAATATGGATGGATGGGTGGACTTTTTCTCCTACCAGAATTGTTTGTTTTTATTATTAAAACAAGCAATCATTCACCTTTGTTTTTAAATAAAAATGAATAATATCACAGACATTTAACGTTGATTATCGAACTTATTTTTTCAGCCCAAGACTTCTTGTGTTTTATGAGAAATTCGACTAATACATGTACATAATAGAGGCTACCAGTGGGAAAAACAGAATTTAATATTGAAGTTGATACCAAGGAAATTTCGTTTTAACTTGTTTTTAAGCATAAAATAAAAAGTAAATTTGTTTGTTTGTTGTGTAAGATGAAATTTTATTTCATCGCGTGAACTTTAAATTGTTAAATCTCACTTGATGAAATGAAATTTCATCTTACACCCAAACAAACAAATATCCTCTATTTCTTTACTTTTTAAGGTATCTACTTCAAATACATGTATA